AAGGAAAAAAAAAAAAAAAAAAAAAAAAAGAGAGAGTGGCAGAGGGAGATTCAATATACAGAGGAAAAGGCGATGTAAAGACAGAGCAGAGAAAGAAGCAGCCACAAGCCAAGGAATGCCAACAGCCACCAAAAGCTGAAAGAGGCAAAGAATGAATTATCCCCCAGATCCCCGGAAGCAGGTGCAGCTCTGACTACATCTTAATTTAGGACCTCTGGATTCCAGAACTATGAGAGAATAAATTCTGTTGTTCAAAGCCACCCAGTTTGTGGTAATTTGTATTAGAGTTGCCCCAGGAAACTAATATATCATATTATCATTTCAAAGAGATACTCAGATTGGTTTGTGAAGAATAGCTTGGGTGTGGGTAACACTGGAAGCTGAGATATCTGTCAAGATGATTTGCAACCATTTTGAAGGAAAATAATGGTGGCTCAAAGTGGGTAATAGCAGTGGGGATAAAAATTTTTGGTACTAGTGAATGTATCTAAAGCCAGGCACACAGTATATCTGGAGTTTTTCTGATATAATAAAATTCTGAAATTCTCCTTTCTTATTCTAGGTGTTTGTCCATAAGAAATTATACAAAGAACTTTGGTGATTTTGTTAATTGCTTTTGATTATGCTAATGTACTTAGAACCATAAAATACTCTACAAGGAAAATAATTTTTTAAATTACTCTTATTAATCTTCTACAATATTAAAATTTTACCTGATTTTTAAAAGATGTTCATTTATGTTCCTTTTTTCTTTTAAAAGCTTCTGGGACAACTTCCCCTTTTTAATAGTGTTTTTTACATTTTAGTTTTGCCTTTTCCTAGGCACTGTGCAAACAGTCACTAGGATACGGAACAAATAACATTAATAGTCTCAAATATTGCGTGATTCAGGAATCATGAACAGAAAGAAAAGGGCGAGGATGGTAAGATAATGGACATTTCTTGCACATCTACCATGTGCTGTATTAAGTAGTTTACATACATCATTTCATTTAATCCTTGCAACACATAGGTATAATTATCTCCATTTTGCAGAGGCTAAGAAACTGAGACTAAGAGATTTACTAAAGACTACTCCAAGAGGACAAACAAAACCACTGCTGTATTTTTCTTATTTAGAGAACATAACTTACCTATAGCAAATTTGAAAAGAAAAAAAGTTAGGGAAAACTAAAGTCAGTTATAAAATTCCACAATCCTGGAATAAGCACTATTAACGATACAGTATATATACAACTATACATATATATAATGATCATTTTTATAAAATTGGCATGTACACTATATACAATTTCACAGCCTATTATTTCACTAAGCATTTATATCCTGAGCATTTCTCTTACTAAAAATTCTTCAGAGATTTTAATGCCTACGTAATATTTCATCACATAAATGTAATAAAATTTATCTTCTTCCTTATTATTGATTGTTAAAGTTGTTTCCAATTTTCTTTTTTTTTTTTTTTTTTTTTTTTTTTTTTTTTTTTTTTTTTTTTTTTTTTTTTTAAAA